GTACTGAAAATTTGGCGGCGCTGCGCGCCGCCGTTTTCTTGCTATTTAGGAAAAACCACAGGGGGGGCCAAAATGCCCCCCCCCAATGGGGCGAGGGTTAAAAAACGGTGACACTTTTCCGGAACTGTCATTTGTCAATAATTGACCCTATTATTTGCGGACAGTTTATTCCAACAGGCCGCTTCGCTGGCTCATAGAGGAGGGAGATGATCGCGACACAGTCGCAATCGATGTCAGGCAGGCACGCGCGCCCCACTCTATACATGGGGGCTTGCCGTGACGCGCACCTGTCACCTGTCGGGCGACTGTCGACGCAGCTGGCCTGGGGGCGAGGTCACAAAGGCCCCCACTCACCTGTCGACCCCAGCCGTCGACCTGCTGACCCATACTGCACCACTGCGGTGACCTTGTACTGACATGGTGCAGCTGATGAGGAGTGTGCTCGACAGGGAGGCGGGTGAGGGGTGCACAGAGCGAGCGAGGGCTCTGCGGAATGGGGAGGTCCCGCCGGTTTCCATCGACCATCGTCCCACGCCACTGCACAGTTGTGTGTTCTCAGTGAAAAAAATAATGAAAAGGACGCTCCAAACTACTTGTGATAACATGCGTGCTGATAACATTCAGAAGATGTACTTTGTGTATCTTGCATCAGTAATGCAAAAGTATTGTATTTTAGTGAAATGCCGCACTTCAAAACCGAAGAAAGGAGTTTCGAATGCATCGTTTAGCGACACATTATTCAGCTCTTAACCCTATTCCTGGCGGGGGGGGGGGCCTCAGGAGCCCCCCCCCTGAGGTTTTTTGGTTATTTCTCCCAAACGCGTTGAGCTAGGAAGCTCAAATTTTCTGACTTTTCCTAAAAGGCTTCTACGCAACATGTCTGAAAATTTTGAGTTGATCTGACCTCAGGTCAGGTCACCAGAGGCGGTTTGGTGACCCTACCTCAGAAAAGTTTGCAATCACGCCAGAGCTAGAGTTTTTGACCGATCAATTTCTTCTCTTCAGGCTTTAGTTAGGGTACCAGTATGTGCAATTTGTATATCTCGGAATTTTGATATCGGTGACCTAAGGTCAGGTCAATTTCGCGACCTCCCCATTATAAGTCAATGGGGGGAAAAATCAACTCCCTGTTTTTACCACTAAAACGGGTCGGAATGGCCCCATATACCATACATGACTTCATATACGATCAACCTTCACTACCTTGAGGTCTGTTTTGCTGTTGGGCAGCTGTGAGGTCATGTGACGTCATCAAAGGTCACCAAAGGTTTTTGGCCAATAACTCCGTACAGGAACAAGATACAGACGCGTGGATGGTCTCATTGTGTTCAGCTCGTCAAGACGCATCGAATGATATACATGATGACCTCGAGGTCACGTGACCTGAGGTCAACCTTTGACCTTGACCTTTCGAGGTCAACATATATATCATTCGATGCGGATTGACGAGAGGATCACGATGATGCCCTTAGTTTGTTCCTATCTTGACTAATTCGAAAGTTATTCGAGAAAAACTCTCTCCATATCTAGCGCCGCCATTTTGACTTTTTCGACCCCTGTGACGTCATCTTTGACCTGACCTGAAAATGACCTTTGTAAAAATTGTAGATCTTGGCCCTGCGTATCCGATGCCGTTTACCGCTTGTCGCTATCTTGCTTCGTTCTCGAGATCTCAGGGGGGGGGGGCCGAATCGGCCCCCCCCCCGCCAGTTTCTTGTCCCGGCGGAGCCCGCCAGGAATAGGGTTAAATATATTTAACGTTTAAAAATGTCACATAATTAGGTCCTTAGTCACTTTGGCACGTCTGAAGCCTTGAAGAAGCACCATTGTTCAGCATCGTTACGGAATTTCGGCGTGCACCACTCAGCACTAAGTCGCCGGGCTCAGGGTGGCTCGTTTCCATGCGCGGCTGAGGGTCGGCCCTTAGTTCAGTTTAGACACGTGCCGAGAAGTTGAGCGCGCCACCAGGCAGGGGGCAGGACGTTTTCCCAGAACACTGGCGCCGGAGGTAATCGGCCAGCTCGAATGTAATGGACGTGCTATACATAATGGCCATAAATGAGATTTCTATTTTACATAGTTAGCGCTAAAGAGCTTTAATCAAGGCAGCGGATCGCTGGCTCGAAGCGAGAGGATTTAATACGAGTTCTTAGTGGAACCAGCAATGCCAGAGATTGTTGTCATTTCTTTGATCTTCACGGTCGATGAGAGATTAAATTTGGCTGCGAAATCAGTCCACCTGAAAAGGGCTGACTTTGAAGTTTGAACCTTTAATTATTCAAATGTGGGCGAGAAATGCCATTTATCTATGAGGATAGGCAGACACATAATGCAATGCCACTGCAGCTTATGCGTACAAAACCAACCTATACAGCCATGACGTCTACATGATCTAAAGCTACATGATTTCAGTTTAATGATAAAAATCGTGTCCATTGATTCACATGCCTTTAACTTATGTCCAATAGTTTCCGGTTCATATCATCATAATATTTTCCAAATGAATGCAAATCTCTCATACATTTCGTACATCTCATGATGAAACAGTTCCTCGCATGGTTCTCCAACTTCGTAGATTCACTTCGGTCGTGTCAAAAGAAAACTTGATCCTAGTGTGGGTAGGCGGTACTATTTTTGGCTCGGAAATCCACTCGTCAAGACAGCGACCGTTAAAGTCCTGCCACTCAAAGCATCAGCTCACGACCGCCCACGAGTCGCTGAGAGCAGACAGTTTCAGTAGCAATCTTCTCTGCCACATGCCGTCCTGTCAGGCTCAGAATCATCAGCAACAAATTGAGCTTCAGACGAAAGAGGAAAATGAGCGACTGCTTGCGGACGCCATTTTTTTCTGGACCAATGCGAGCTGGATGATCTACATTCAAAACTAGACTGGTCCGCCGAACCATCTCAAAACGCCAGGGTGGACGTCTGCTTCAATAAAAAATCCAGGGTCGGGCTAGCTTGCGGCGAACTTTCCCAAAGACGCCCGGTGGGAGCGTCCCGGCGGAGCCCGGTGGGAGCGTCCCTCCGCGGTGGTGTCCGGTGGGAGCGTCCCTCCGCGGTGGTGTCCGGTGGGAGCGCCCCTCCGCGGTGGTGTCCGGTGGGAGTGTCCCTCCGCGGTGGTGTCCGGTGGGAGCGTCCCTCCGCGGTGGTGTCCGGTGGGAGCGCCCCTCCGCGGTGGTGTCCGGTGGGAGCGCCCCTCCGCGGTGGTGTCCGGTGGGAGCGTCCCTCCGCGGTGGTGTCCGGTGGGAGCGTCCCTCCGCGGTGGTGTCCGGTGGGAGCGTCCCTCCGCGGTGGTGTCCGGTGGGAGCGCCCCTCCGCGGTGGTGTCCGGTGGGAGCGCCCCTCCGCGGTGGTGTCCGGTGGGAGCGCTGCTCCGCGGTGGTGTCCGGTGGGAGCGCCCCTCCGCGGTGGTGTCCGGTGGGAGCGCCCCTCCGCGATGGTGTCCGGTGGGAGCGCCCCTCCGCGGTGGTGTCCGGTGGGAGCGCCCCTCCGCGGTGGTGTCCAGTGGGAGCGCCCCTCCGCGGTGGTGTCCGGTGGGATGGTCCCGGCGGCGCCTCCCACAGTGTAGGCCGACCGGCGGCCGCGGGCTCCTGGGAGGCCCGAGCCGCACCGCGCCGCGCCGCGCCGCGCCGCCGCACCAGCCCACAGAAAACTGGTTTGCGTCAAGGTCAGATTCGACCGTTGTAGGCTGCAGTAGCGGCGAGACCGTGATGGCCGCCGCTGCCGCCTCGGACGGCCAGGGTACGGCGGCGTCACGCGGCTCGAGCGGAGCTCATTAGGCAGGGAGCACAGTGCCGAGGACTGGACACTGCCTCGGCAAACTGACAGTCTACTACAGAAGGATGAATTTATGTGCGCTTGGCTCAGTGTATTCAGTAGGCATTGGCTAGGTTTGCTTCGTATATAGGTGTGAGTTGCCACAACGTGACGACAGAGTGGAAAAGGATAGCCAATCGCGGTTTCCGCTTGGGCGTGCTTCGCGCTTTGGTCTTTTGTCGCCAATGCGATAGATCCGTTTGCATTCTACCACATTTCTGCTATTCAGCGGTGTTTTTCACACCTTTTTATGTGCTGAAATCAGACAGCCCACAAGTGCGAGCTAGCGAGCGTCCCCTCAATTTCGTCATCGCCTCTGCGACCGACGTGCTTAGAGTGACGTAGCGTGACTGCTGACAGCTTTGTCACGGCTCACATAAAGACGGCTGACAACAGCCCTTCGCACGGCCTTGGGTATGAATCGTTAAAGCACTCTAACATTTCTCGTGGGTTTGATTTCACCCAAAATGAGACGCCAAACCACCATTTGTTGCTGATCTCGAGTCCAACATTTCTCGGCTGTTCCAAACCCCATCAGGGCGTCAGTCTCGCCAAATGGGCCATCCGCTTTGGTGTGTAAAAACTTTAGAGCCAACGTCGCCCCAACGACCTGACCCATCACCCTCCAAACGACGTCTTCACCGCCGCCGGGCGCCGCCTTCGCTTCTCACCCCGCCCCGAACCCGCCCGGGCAGAAATCGGCCCGAGTTGTGGACACTGCGCCCGGGCGATCGATCTCACAAGTCGCCAGTGGTCGTCGTCGGTCGCCACTGGTCACCAGCGGTCGCCATCGGTCGCCTTCCGTCGGTAGCGACGCCCGACGGTTCGCTCGGACAGTTGGAGGCGTCACTGCGCGCGCGGCGGTGGGGGTGGGTCGGTTTGCGCGAGCACGGCCCGGGCTGGGCTGGCGCAGCACAACCGGCGCCACCAGGGCCGGAGCGCGGCCTCGGCGGGCCGGGGCGGTGATGCCGGGTCACGCGGCTAGCTGGCGGGCCCTGACCGCATTCCGACTCCGCTCAGCGCTGGGCCGCTCCGCGCCGCTCTGCGCCGGGCCGCACGGCGTAGCGCGGTGTAGCTGCGCGTTCACAGACCGGTGAAGGCACGGCTGGGTCAGCTAGGGGGTCACGGTGGATGATACTCGCTATTGACATGCAGCCGGAGCTCTGGGCGCGGCACACTCACCGATTCGGTTCTCGAACGAGGCCCAGTACGGCGTCGCCACGGTGATGATGCCCACGACGGCCGCTACGAGCGCTAGTACCGTCGATCCTGTGGACAGCACGATGTTGCGACCCATCTCCACATGCTGCGCACTGTCGGGCGCGCACACCAGGCACCGTCACTGCGCCGCCGTCGCCGCCGCGCCGCCGCTCGCCGCGCACCAGTCACACTGACGGCGCGCAGCCGGCCCGGCCGGGGCGGCGCAGCAGTATTTTACCTGGCCGCCTCACCTGGCGGCGCTCGGCTCGCCAGCTCGCCGCTCTACCGACGGCCGCGGAGCCTCGCCCGCCGTTCTACCTGTTCCGGTGGAGAGAGCTGAGCGCACCGCGGCGGCCGATTCACCCCGGCCGTTTTTGCTAGTGAATCCACGGGTCGTGCGGCCGGTTGCAACGCGGCCACTGAGCTCCAAAACGGCTAAGCGGCCACTGACCGGCGCTCTGGCGTGGGGGAGGGCACGGCCGGGCCCGCCGCGGCACTCGATCCCATCCGGGGGTGCGCGGGCTCATGGGCGCCCGCCCTCACTGATGATGACCGACAATGAAATCTGGATCGGTCGGCCCACTAATGCGCACGTGATCCGCTCGTTATCCGTAGGTCAGCGGTGGTGCCGCGGCTCGCCCTCAGCGCCAGACGGGCGCGCCGGGACCTTTTCCTGTGCAAGAGTGGCCAGAATAGCTCCATCAGGAGCCTTTACGACAGTATCGACCCCCTGGGCAATATTATGGAAGATACGACTCGTGAATTCTAAGCCACTGCAGCCCCCGGCTTACTTTTGTGAACCATTACCTCAAGCTAGAATGATGAGAAAAAAAGACACGAGAGAAGACCTTCAACTTATTGTTGTGAGTCGCAAACAAATAGGCAATAAAGGATGGCTATAGGAAGTAGCCATGAGCCGCTATGGAGACTGAAGAGAGGCTCCGCATCTGTCATGGCTAAGGGTATAAGGCGATTTATTGGTAAATTTGCATGCAGCACGGACGATTCAAACTTAAAATAGGTATGTATTTTGTAATGTATGTATTTGCATTCGCTTCTCAGAATACACATTCCCATGGGCGTCGCCACAGGGGGGGATGGGGGGGACACCGTCCCCCCCTGGAGTGAGGGTGGGGGGATTATCCCCTCCTCAAATTGAATGTCAATCGAAGTTTTCGAGCTGCTTTTTTCTCAGTTACCTGTCATTCTGCGGAACCGTAGTAGGTACCGTATATATGTACCTAGGTAGGTATATCAAGCACGTAGGTAGGTAGGTAAGTACCTACCTACATGGCTTAACCCGTGCCGTGCTGGGGGCGGGGGGAGGACGTTTTTACGCCCCCTCCCCCTTAGCTTCTTCGCAAATATCTCAAAAAACGGCGCCGCGCTGCGTCGCCATTTTTGGCACAGCTCATTATGCATCTTTTCTGCATATGGTGTGAATATTTTTAGGCCCAGGCTCCAAAGGTCATGTCACCAGGTCAAGTTAAGTGACCCAACCTCCGGAAAAAAATCAAACACGTGCCGAAGCTACACCAGTAGTCCGATCACTTCGAAACTTTCAGCGACTGATAAGGGTGACAGATCCTACAAAACATATCTCTCGGAACAATTGACAATAGTACTTTCGTAATGCTTTTTGATGAGCTTTCGAACGCCGCCTGCCGCGTCTCGCGACGTAGCTCAGGAGCCGAGTTAGGGGGGGGGGGCGTAAACCCCCCAGCACTTCATGGAAAATCCAGACCACCAGCACGGCGCGGGTTAATTGCAATGTTTAAGAATCCTTAAAAATGAAAAAAGTGTGTTTACATGAACATTTTGGTTATAAATGTATCCTTGGCCCTGTCGCTTCATAGGCTCCACCGCCAGTGTCAGCATCTTCTCTGCCTCGGCCTCCCTCGTCCGAACCTCCGAGCCAATCTCCTCCGGGTCCATCATCCGCGGCACCTGATGGTGACGCTCCGAGCCCATCATCCGCCGCACCTGATGGTGACGCTCCGAGCTCTCCAAGCCGTTCAACATCACCCTCTAGCTCGACTAAGCGGCCCCGCCTCTCCGCCGGTTAGTCTTGAAACCTGCCCTCGGCCCATTTCCTGCCCTGCCCTTCCCCATTTACATTTACCATTTGTACTCAAAGGCGTTCTTCTGAAAAATCAAAATATCTTAGTGACACTCATGCATTCTGACATTAAAAAAATAAAATCAAAGCATAGTGTGTCGTTTATTCTTTGTGTCCCACGATGCCCTGGGCTTAGAAATTATGCCTGAATGAACACAATGAAAAGAAGTGCGTAATAAAAATAATAAAAACCGGCTACATCGAAAATAAAGTGCATCAAATCCAGAGAAAAGGCTGAAAACGGGGTTGCGGGGTTCTAGCACAGAAAAAAAACTTGCAGGATCCGTCGAGCTTCGTCCCCCCCACTCAAAAACCCATGGCGACGCCCCTGCACATTCCTATATAGTTGTTTCTGTTTCCGATGCATTTGTCAAAAATAGACATTCAGTGATACATGTTTCATAGCTTGGAGCATCAAAACACTTCATGCTATCCCGCATGAAATATCTAATTGATCCTAGCCGTCGCAACCCCCTACCGATCGTCGACGCATGCCGGCTCTGCCTTCAAGTTCAACCATGATTAGCTCACTGAGGCTGATTGGGTGGAGATGAGGGGGCTGCTACGAACATTGAGAGTGCAGTTGACGTTGAGCGCTGTCAACAGTAAATAGTTTGTAAGACGTTCTTGCACTGACTTGAGAAATAGGCAGCATAGCCATCATGCTAGGGGGACGTCTTTTATGTTATGTATTCTGTGTTTCCGACACAGATTCTTCAAGTGAAACGCGTTGGTCCATATATGTATTCTGATGTTCATTGTCAGTAATCATAACAATCATAATAAATTTTAAAATGGAGTTCATGAAGGGCATCTGCAAAGGCCATGGTAGGTTTCCATCTTCTTTTTAACCCTCATTATGTTCATTTTTCAGGCAGTAATGCCAAACCATATTATACTACATGCCTATTGCCTATGTTATGTAGATCATACGAGCAGTAAGTAGTTTATTCCACAAAGAAAATGTAAAAGCACGCCGTTTTCTCTTCCAGCAAATACAAGCATTTGTGCAATATAAAAAAATGTTCATTTCAATTCCATTATTTGTACGCACTACGCTGACAATGTCAACACACTGCTGAGCCATTCTGGCTCGAAAAAACGCAAAAATAAGCAATTCTACAGACGTGGTTGAAATTCGCAAACAAGGCGAACGATAAACGTTTCTCCATTTCCGCGTTGGCTGCAGTAGTGCACACACACAGGTACTTTTCTGGTCATCGCCAGACCTTTCAAGTGCGTTTATTGCCGGCCATATTGCGTTTGGATGCGTTGCCGCCGGTGCGGGGCGGCCGAATGTCACCATATGGGGGGCCGATATTGCCTGAGACGACTTCGATCGATGGTGCCACGACGGCCGGGCGACGGGCCGGGGAGGGTCGGGCCAGGCAGCCACCCTTGGCCGACAGGGCAACACGGCTCGGTGTAGGTACTGAGGCGGGTTGAGGCGGGCTCAGAAGGGAAGTGAAGGGATGTTCCGACTCTCAGCGACAGAGCAACAAGGTGACGCTGCCGGGCTGTCAGGCGTTGTCCAAAGAGCATATCGTGGTTGGGATGGGTGTTGTAAAGGTGTTTGTGAGGGCAATGTCTGAGCGATGCTGGGGGAGGGGGAGAGTGTGAGAAGTTTATCTCGTTTTGGTATAGAAGCCGTTGGGACCGAAATCGATCGTTCGTTGGGACGACGGTTTTTACCTTCTCTTCTAGTTACTAAACGCCAGGAGGTGGATGGTTTGCCCGTTGGCGAGCTGGGATGATAATGAGCAACTTGTCAGGCTGGGCAGCGGTTATTTTTCCTCGATGGCAGTGGTCGTCATTTGCTGGCTGGTGGTTGTGTGTGGCTAGGCAGTCGTTATGTATTTGTTTGACGATGATTGTGTATTGGGTGGGCGGTGGTCGTTATTCGTTTGGCGATAGACGTGCGTGGTTTGTCGTTCGCCTCTGAGGGGCAGCGGCTGTGTGCCCCGCCCTGCCAGTCTAGTCAGCGGTCAGCCGGTCAGCCGGCGCGCAGTGGTGCGCAACAAGCCACGACTGCGCGAGACACGCGCTAACGAGCCACGGCGCCGGGAGCAGCCAGCCGCAGCACGCCAGCAGAGCAGACCCCTGATTGGTAGCTCCCGGATCCATCAGCGCCCCATTGTGCGAGCGCTAACGACCTGTAACAACAAATCAGCAATAGCAGCTGCAGTCAGCAAATGTGATGGATAAAAGAAAGGAATAAGCTGATGGGTGGGCAAGTGTGGTACTATTCAATTATGTTTCTTTCAATGCAACAATTTGGCAGCTTTATGGCAGCTGGCAGCTAAATTAGTAAGTAGGTAGTAAGTACAGGCTACGAAATAAAGGCATGGAGTGCGATTTCATCCATCCAGAAGAACTGTGACCCCTATCGGTGAAACCAAACCATTTCGTTGAAAGACACCAAGATAAATAATTGAACCTTATAATATTAGAACTGCAAAGAAGAAAAGGATGACGAATATGAAAGGACAACAAGCACTTTTTCACATTATTTTCGTGCTCGCGGAAGTTTTTTTTCTTCTTCTAAAAACAATAATTGTCAATTTAGACGTTCATTGAGCAATCTTTTTTATCGTTGAGGCATAACGTCAAATGCTTTGAAATGAAGGCAACAAAAAAAACTTGACAATTTTTATGAGCTCTGAATTATGGCATAAACGGGGAAGTGCTGTTATCACAATATATGATACACAAATTGCAACCGAAACGTTCGGTATTCATCTAATCAACAGAACATCTGCCCAATATCCGTATTCTATGAATTGCATGGCTTCAAGGCATGGGCAATAATGCATTTGAACGTCCCGCCTAGTTGTGAAACTATGCAGACGCCGTCGTCTGGCCGATCCAATATGTCGTTATTCAACGGCTACAAGACGTTAATGGCCGCGGGCAGCTGCGGCGGCGCCGGCAGCGTGCTGATAAAATAGGACGCCATGTCACGCCGGGTGGGACAACTTTCATCTGCGTCACATGAAACTGGGCGGCGGTTCAGCACGCCCCCGGGCTGACCTTTCCTAGGGCCGGTAATGAATTGCAGGTCGAGCTCGGCCATGTATCCTGGGGGTCCGCTGTGTACCGTGTCAACGGGACGGACATGTAGGGTCATCTCACACCGCCCCCCAATGGAAATTGGCTGGGCTCTTGTCGTGGTCGTTTCATTTTCAATACGTTTCATTGCACACTGACGGCAAATCAACGTCTCAAAGCCAAGGGCTAGTTACCAGTTATTGTAGGGCACCTATTTCTTTTTATCTCAATCAACACCATGCCACTGGACCATCCACCGGGCTCAGCATGGTACCTAAGCG